GTCCATGGCTATTTCCATTAAGCTGTGCTCTAACACTCATCAGTCAAATCCAAATCTGCATGGCAAAGTCTGTCCTCCAGTGAATAAGACTTTTATCAGAAAACAGCTGCCCACAGCAAAATATATAATTAGGAAATACTTTCAAGTTGGGGAAATCTGTGCTTTTAATTCAGAGGTGGTCTGAATTATAACAGTAGGTCACCATTTAATTTTGCCATAATGCATAATAGGGTAAAAGAAAAACGAAGTTTTTTCCCTCAAATTCTGAAAAAAATTAGTTTAGGATTTTAATTTTTGGAATGGCATGAAATAAAATTTATAACAAAGCATTTGTTTCTTGCACGTGTAACTGTGAAATGACACTTTGTTATTGAAGAAAAGGAAGGCTTACCACTATTTAAATAAAATAAAGACCCAGAGGAGGAGAGGTATTTCTCGTTTGCAATTCTCAAACATACCTCTCAAAGTAGGACCAATTAAGAATTAGCATGAAAAGCCTTCTTGGTACAGCAAATTTAGATGTCTGATTGACACTGTCTCCATGCCAATCTGAATGAAGGTGCCTGTCAGGCAGGTGGATGTGCCGTTGGCCACTACTCTACAAGCTGCCCCTCCATACCATAGGAAAAGGTTTCTGTAATGTCCCACACAGGAAAACTCTTCAGCTTCTAGATGCTCAATGGTGAGTTCATCATTTGGGCAGTTTGCTTCTGTGAGGACAACCTGCAGCTGGAGACAGATAGCAGCTGAGTCCAAACCCCAGACATTTCTCTTCTGTTGCGCTGCTGCTGTTGAAGTGGAGACAGTCCAGCATCAACACTTGGCAACAGGAACATGGCTTCCAGCTTTATCTCTCCTTCATATGCCTTTGTCCCGCTATTCATCCATCACTCATAACATGTCAAATAACACAGCTAGTATCTGTGCTTGCTAGAACAATTTATCTCAAAGACACTCAACACAGTTTCTTAGGTATAAGGATCTCTGCATACCACCTAAAACACATTATTCAGCTTAGTCAACTGAGGACACCTGTAAACACCAAAGGCAATTCCCACAAGCATTTTACAAAAAGGAAAAACTTTCCACCCTAATGATGATCATAAATGTCCTATTCTGTATCACGTTATTTTGAAGGCACTTTGCACTACTGTAATTAACTGCTACTATTCAAATTACTAATTATTTTGACCTTCATTAATCTATTTTCACTGATATATCAAGTATTTGAAAGAGCAGGCTTTTTGTGCCATCAATATTTTGCTGTAAAATAGAAGAAGTCAAGTCTGTGCTAGTTCCATTGTGTCCAAGGCAAACAAGAGTTCTCTGCAGGGGTATGGGAGGCTACTGTCAGTTTTCAGAGCCAGGCAAAATTTCTTGTTCCTCTGCTTTTCTCCTAATCCCAGGCCAAAGCACCAAAGACAATAAACTGGTGTGACACGCTTGTGAGTTCTGTGATCTGCACTAATAGTTAAAAGTTCATGCCAGTAACATTGACTAGACTGAGAACTTTCAAGCTGACTTTTCCAAAAATGTCTCTGGTTATTAGTAAATCAGGCAACTAGCCCTGCCAGAGCCTTCAGCATTCCTGAAATGAGAAGTATTTCAGCTCAAGTCATAGTTTTCTGTTCACACAGGTTTGTTAATCACTTTGCAGTGTTATACTTCAAAAGTTGAAGATTCAAAAGTTAGTCCTTGTTGTTTATAACGAAGAACAAAATGTGAAGATCAGACTACTTAACGATTGCCCAATGCTTAGCAGAAGAAAATGCTACTTCTCCCAAAGGAGATAAACAAAACACCAAGGATAAATTTCTCAGCAGAGCTGTTCTCTACAATGCTAAAAGAAGCTGTGAGCATCACGATAGGAGGAGGAAAACCTGCAGTCTCAAAAAGACAAGTTTGTCCCCATACACCCAGAAAACATTGATAAACGACTGTCAGAATCTAGTCATATTCCAGATCCAGGTGAGAATCATTTAAGTAAGTAGTAAAGGAAGCATCAGGCAGAAAAGAAACATTTGGGTCATAAATTTATCAAATTCAAGCAAGAGAACTCAAAGTCATGAGCAATGTGAGCATCTCTAAATTGATCAGGCTATCTTCCCACCTGCTGTAAATCTGAACTGCTGTTCACAAGGGTTGAAAATAGCGCTTTGCCTGTATTTTTGAATAGAAGAAAAGAACTGCCCTTAAGTTGAACTCAGTCTGCAATACAAACATTACTGAAGGATACATGCAATACAATATAACTGAAAGATGCCTTTCCCTTACCAGAGATCATAAAAAAAGTACCTCACAAGGCATATTTGCTGACGCCTGGATTTCTTCTCATGTTGCAAGAACTACAATTATAATATACCCCAAGTTAGAAGAGGCGCACAAGGATCATTGAGCATTTGAAAATACTGGTAATGCTGTTTGAACTCCAGGAGTTTGGTGCCGTGACCACTGCCCAGGGGAGCTTGTTCCCAAGCTTGATCACCTCCAGTGTAGAACCATTTGTTAAGCCCCAACCTGGCCTTCCCTGAAGCAGTTGCAGATCACAGCACCTTGCTGCCTAAAAATGCCAGTAAGCAGCTTTGAGTTGTTCTAAGAGGAGATCTGAAGGGACCCGATGATACTGTACACTGGTGTATCCTCACCTCAACAACTGTGTGAGATTTCAGACACTACGATATAAAAACACAAACCTATTAGTTTCCAAAGGACGGCTATAAACATGTGAATAGTCTCGAGTGCAAGCTGTATAAGGAGGTGCTGAGCTGAGCTCTGGTTCAGCCCGGAGTGGAGGAGGCTGAGGGAAGACCTCATGGTGGCCTGCAGGTCCTCATAGGGAGAAGAGGGACAGCGCTGACCCAAGGGAACAGCATGGAGCAGTGTCAGTGAGAGTCAAATAGTGTGTTAGGAACAGGCTCTTCACCAGAGAGTGGTCAGGTACTGGCACAGGCTGCCCAGGACAGTGGGTATGAACTGCACCTCAGAATCAGGTCAAAAATTGCTGGTTACAACAGGAAAGATTTAATTCCCAGGTTCAACTCCCATATTGCTACCCGCCACTCGGTTCCTCCTGCAATCCAGTGCACACCTGTGGGAGCAGGCACTTCTCCCTTCCCTTTTAGTTGCTTTATAACCAAACACACAACACAAGGCTGTATGATATCATTAATGTACTCTTCTTTGGTATGAGAGAAAACTAGAGCAGTGCTACGGAATAGGGCAATAACCTGAGTAGTCAGACTGATAGCTGAATTTCTTTGCTTTTATAAATAATGAAGCTTGGGTTATGGCTCACTTCTGTGCAGTGTCATGGATTACCAAAAGGTCAAACACTGACAGCTCAAACTCTGCACAGATTATTCAGTTAGCAATGCCTATACAGTTGAAATTTGCAAAACCAGTATATGAAAACAAACAAACAAAAAAAAAAAAGCACAGGAAATCGCCGTTTTATACAAGTTTTACTATTACTTAAATGGAGGAGCTGGTATGCTGGAATATAACAATGTCTTTTTGGACATTATCCCAAACATCAACCGGATCTCCAAATAAATTTATGAGAAGAAACATGCTCTGGTGGCAGATCTCTAATCCCACTGGAGAAAGCCCAGATCATCTCCATTTAAGGTCAAGCAAGCAACAGCTGCACATTTTTGTTCCCCAGAACAAAATAAAGCAGACCAAAACCTCCAACACAAATTCCTTTTTTAAAAGCTGTTCCCTTCTGGACTCCGTGGGTGCTCAGACTCAGGCTACCAAGGAAGAAACTGAAGAGCATGCAGACGCCCTCACACACGTGGTCCTTCTGCCCGGTCCCTGAGCAGCAAGCTGCTTCACACAGGTCCTCGCAAGCCTCACCAGTGTGTAACACCAAACCAATGGACAGGTTTCTGGAGAGATCGTATCCCAGCAAGCCTCTTGCCAGGGAAGCACCAATACAAATCCAAAGCATTCACAAGATCTGCACTGGGGAATTTTACTGTTATTTACCAAATGCATTTCCAATCTTATTTAAATGCAGCATTTCTTATCTGAGTTAAACATATCTAGAAGGCATGCATTACATTTCAGATGAGGTATTACCATTTGCATTAATGCCCTATCTTTCACTTCTAAATACCATTCTTTAAAAAGAAGACTAAGCTATGATTGCATATCCTAACCTGTCAGTGGCTCAGTAACAAAAAAAGAGCATTCTTTAGGGGCATGTCACGTTAAAAAAAGCTCTGGAATGCTGATTACAAGCAATTCACCAACACAAAAAGGCAAAAATCAAGGGAAGAGTAAGTATTGCTATGATTTTAGGATGACTCAGTAAAAGGGAGAAATTGACATTAGTCACTGCAGTGCTGGGTGCAGGACTCTAATAACAAATGGAAGATGTGAATTTCAATAGTAACACTTGTACAAGTTTCATATTACATCTTGCAAAGACAGCAGTACTTTTGCTGGGTGATAGCAAGCAATAACATGAAACTCCCCTCACAAAAAGGTCAAATGCAGTTTGCCCGACAGTTATAGATTTATGTTAATAATGCCATTATAAGTAAGTTATGAAACACTCTGCACTGGTGAACAACTATCACTGTGGAGACACTCAATTAACTTTCAATTGAAACAAGTGACCCTGGATTTCCTGGATTTATTAAAGGATAACAGAAAGCAGTCGCATTTATAATACAAAAGCTCAGTTTCTAACTTTAATTGTAATATAGCCAAGAAAAGCATAAGAGAGCTAAACATCACCTTCAAAGTCTTCAAGTATTTTTTGCCTCTGGTTTGCAGCAGGCATCACGGCATGGCTTAGAGGGAATTAGAAAACAAATTAAACAATAAACCAAGCAAAAAAAGTCAGCCTATCACGTCTGGTTTCTTGTTCAAAGCCAGACATTAATCTATGCTAAGCAACAACTGCCAAAACTGGATCTAAATGTTTAGAGTTAGGCTGAGCTTCTGTATTTTTGCCTGCCATTTCCAAATGAGGATAACACTCACACTGCCTGTAGCATCCACACATGAAGCCCAATGCTGGGCGCTTTCTCACAGAGCAGTTCAGTGCCTCCACACCCAGGAAATCCTCCATTTCCTGGATGCATGAATCCTACTACTTAAATGCGGCCCATGCAACAGGCAGCACAAACCTCCTCACAAGTGCAGGATGCAGTGTGTGCTGTGTCCCCACTTGGCATTTCTCAGACAAGGGTAAGATGCAGAAGGTAACCTGCAGTGCTTTATCTAGCTGCACTTCTCCCCAGAAAACAGGGCACAAAATCATAGGCAGTTTCCAGCCACTACAAGAACACTATGGTATTCCATAAGAAAGGTAAAATACTTCAAATTATATAGGAATGATTAATTCAGAGGACTAATTTATACAAGATGGATTTTATTTGGAAAAAAACACCACCACATGCCATACCTTACAACCCACAAATTAACTCAAGAGGGTGGAAGAGGCATGAAAAAAAGAAAAAATTAAGTTCAAGCACAGTCAGAAGAAAGCTGATACTGCAGAACTTACATCACACTGTAAATCATATAGCAGCTGTACAACAACATTGCTGAATTATATATACACAAAGTGTACAGTTCAAGAAACCTGTGGTACAAAAGAACATCATTCTAGCTCCAACTCCTGTATAGGTTTTATTTTTAGGATTTCATTAACAAGAAACTGCACTGCTGCAGCTGAAGTAGCATAGCCTGAACAGCCCTCCAAACTAACTCCTATTTAAGTTCTCATGTAAGTAAACATAAAAAAGGCCACAGCAAACAGCTCACCCCCTCCCTTGCGCCCTGGCCACAGTTCCCTGAGCCCCACATGGTCAGAGGAGCTGCCAGGACTGAGCACGTCCCGCTGCCAACAAGTGGAGATGAGAACTGCAGGCTTCAGAAGGCAGGGCCGAGGCCAATCACAACTTCTGCATCGCTGAATGACACCAGAAGTCCTGCCTCTGTAACTTTTGTTATTTTTCCCCTCAGCCTCCTTCAATTGTTCCCAGCACTTGGTCACGGACTCAGACAGGCTACCAGAGACCACAGGCAGCTGCCACCACACTCCAACAGCCTGCAGCAGAGGTAAGCGCCCTCTATTTGATGCTTTTAACCCTCACAGCAAGGCACTGTAGCTGCAGTTTTATACATAAACTCCTCTATTCAAATTAACAGCCAGTTCTAAATGTTCACTAAAAGTAGGGAAAATTAGGCAAATCTGCTCTGAGTCACTTATACAGTGCTGTATTTTAAGGGACAGATGAGGTTTTTTCTACATGCTGGTGAGACACTAACTATCCCTGGGCATCACTGTCACAGCAGCAGTGAGCAACTTTCATCATCATCTTCCTTCAACCTTTATTTCTCCTCTTAATCTATTTGGTTTGGTTTGTTTCAAATATAAAATCTACATAGAGTAACTCAGTTTTGCAGGCACTGCCCAGTTGTGTGCCTCAGCCCCACAAAGGCAAAGCTCCTCCGTTACTGAGCTCACAGAGGAATGCTTTGCTGATGTGACACCGAGCAATAAAAACTTTGGCTGCTGTACGATAAAGTACCACCCTTCATTGCAAATGTGAACTGGTTTATAGCAGCGCTAGAACTGGAATTGTATCATATTATTTGACACTTAAACAAATGCATGCATACAACGTTACTGCTGCAAATTCCTTTGAAAGGTTTCTTTTTTATTTTTCTGGTCATTGTAACTGCCAAACTAGAATATTCTAGTAACAAATAAAAAAGTAACCAGGATTTGTAAATCGCAAAATTTATTTGTAATGCAGAAAGTAATCCATTTAATCCTGAGGGAAGAGTGCATACACTACACAACAAAACTACAGCCTAAGCAAGCAACAAGGAGCACATCTCAAGCAGGAACACACCACAAAGGATATTTATATTAAAAACAACAACCACCAAACAAAAAACAAAAACAAGAACCCAACATATATGAATATTGCTAGGAGTAAGATTTATTCTCAACAAATTTCTCCTTAGAGCTACTATTCTGTCCTCCATTGATGCTCACTTTTCTACTTAGGTATTGTTCAAGTTTTGATTTAGGAAAGGGACAAACTGATGTTGTGAGGCACCTGGCTCCTTTTCCTTTTACTGGTAAGCACCAGGTAAGGACACCCAAGAGCAGCTGGCTTTGTGCTCAGCACCCTGTTCTGGTTCATGAAGGCTGGATGCTCTGTAGCTCTTCAGGGAGGCAGCTTGTTAGGAAGCTCTCTAGGAGCTGTTCCCAGCAGGTAGAAGCAGTATTCAAACCCATGCTGCCTTCAAAGCCAACACCTATGACAAGGAGGAATATTCTGAAAAAAAATTTTTAGCTCTGAGGTCACTTAAAATGTGTTTCCAAATGGAAAAATAAATAAATAAATAAATAAATAAATAAATAAAAATTGTATATTTCCTATCAAGCAGAGACAACTGAATTGGTATTTCCAGAGATTCTGATTTACATCTACTTAAAAAAAAAAAAAAAGGTATTAAATTTCTCATCCTTCAAGAAGGTTAAGGATGTAGCATCTTCATTGTGCAGCACAAAACTAACATTGATTCCTAATTAGACACCATAAAGGCTCATATCACCATAAAGGTGATTCTGATTGAATTTTTCAGCAAACAAGAATGTCTGAGATACACCTACATGGGAAGACACATAACTTTTTACACACTGTAGCACTAACTTGAATTAGCAGTAGAAAAGCATCTCAGCTGAGAAACCAAAACCCTGCAGGAAAGTAATGTCATGTTCCGTAGATTATGAGACAGATAGTTTAGAACTAGAACATCGCTTTTGCTTTCCAGAGATCAATACACGGCTTATGAGGACTTTCCTGGTATCCAGTTACGTCTCAGGACCTTACTTATCTACTGCTGTTTTCCATCCATGCCACATCACTGCTGCTAAAAACGTTAAAATAAGAAATAACTTTCAGAATGCCCATCCACTTGCATGTTTTTTATACATGTTAGATGCAATTCAGTTCACATTCACTCACTTTGGTCCACACTGCACCTATCCTATTTATTAATAAGTAACATCAGAATCACCAGAACCTAAAACCTAACTTGAAACTACAAGGTGTTAAATCCTCAGGGCATACAGTAGAGAAAGGAGCCATCTCCCAGAAGGAGCTTTTCTATAAAAAAGTAAAAAATACAAACAGCTGGAAAAAAGTACATGGCATCATGCATCCTATTTTAATGAAGTAACAGATGAGTTTGCAGTGAGGTACCTGCCCAAGACCCCACTGTGTCGTTCTGCACTACTTACAGGAAATCTAGCCTAGAGTTAAAATTGAGTCAAAGACAGCAGCTTCCAGGCTGCTTTAATAGACAGAAATAGAGACAGAAGTCAAAGTTAGCCACAAAGTACATGGATAACATCCAAAACAAACAAACAACAACAAAACAAACAAACAAACAAACCAAACAAAAAAAAGCCAAGCTATGCATGGTCAAGAATTTAATAGTTTTTTTTTTTTTTTTTTTTTTTTTTTTAATATATCCATACCTTTATCTTTCTAATAGCCTTGAAATATAGCTAACGGCTCTTACTAACCAATGATCTCATTTCTAGAACATGGAGAACATCAAAACTACTCAAAATGAAAAATGTAAAACAGGAAAAACTGAATCTAAACTGTTACTTTTAAAGCGTGAGCCTTTTGCACTGACACTTCAGTACAATACAGACTTTAAATCAGAAAAAATAGTTTGCTTTCCTGTTGCTTCGCACATCCCAAAACCTGAGCTGAATTGTTATTTCTCCCCATCTCAAAAACAACGTTCTCTGCATGCAATTAAAAAAATAAAATAATAAAACTATATCCTACTAGTCAGTCCGTGGCTCCTTTCGCTTACAATGAACCCCAGCTGCAATTTTCTGTTTCCCCTCATGCAATTTCTTGCTCTTTTTCCACACTCCCACACTCTTCCTTTGCTCATTTTTTTTTCCTATTTTTCCCTCAGTTCCCTCAGTTGTCTTCACTTGCACCATTTTCTCATTCCTGCCTTCATCCACCCCAGTCTTTTTTGATTGCCAGCTCTCTTTCCCCTTATATTTTCTTCAATTTTTTTTTTTTTTTTTTTAATTAGCTTTTTTTTCCCCACAGCCAAGCTGTTCAGTTGGCTGACACAGTTTTTCACTGGTATAACTGCCTAGTGCAACTCCCAGCCTAGAAACAGAAAAGGAAACGGCATCCTGCACCCCTAGTGTGAGTAAACACACACCCAGCTAAAGGCATAAAACCCAGCAAGTTGCCTTCAGGCCATTTCATTCTTTTTACAAGAAAACAAATTGTAACATACCTCTACAGATCACTTCTGTGGTTGAAAACCTGTAAGCAGCTTCTGTTTTTATCAGTGGAAGCCTTTATTTGTTGAATTGAGAGCAGACACCTGCTAGAAGTCTCTCAAGCCAATTCAGACTGGTTCCTTATCAGCTCTCAACTTCCTCACTCAGAAGAGGAGAATTTTCAGACTTGGGAAGTTTCAAGTGAAATGGCTCCACACATCAGTGAGAAGGTGTTTTACAGCCAAGTTCAAAACAGAGCAATGCAACTGGGAATAATATCTATACATTAACACAGGAAGCCAGCAGAGATGACCAGCATGCCTACACATCAACTGCAGGCGTACCGTGCAGGCAGAGCTGTAACTCCCTGTAGCACTTCTTCTGCAGGGGTCCTTGCAATCCATGGACAATGGGGACAAAAGACACCACAGTCAACAATTCACAGCTTTTCTTTTCCACTTTGGCACTGTACACACATCTTTAAATGCTTCTTCTCTGAGCGTGCAGAGAACGCACCCAGGAATACCACGCTGTTCACACAAAGGTACAGAGGAATTTCTTACACTAGGTACAGTTTTAGAGTTCGGAACAGTTCTTAACATGTAGAGCAAGGATCACAGAATTTAAAGGTGTTTTTTTGCATTGCTATCCTGATGATTAGCAAGAAACTTAAGAAACCAGACCACTGTTGCTGGGTCGTTTTTGTTCTGTTTGTTTTGTTTTTGTTTGTTTTTTAAATCTGATTGTAAAAATCTATGCAATGAGCTCCTGCACAATAGGAGTTGTTAACAATACCTTTTCAGGGCTCAGCTTGCTTGTACGGGGCAGTAACAAATCAAACATGTCAAACCCATTCCACTGATATCACCACTGCATTTAGTAAACATATGACAGGAAACAGGCTGTGTCTAAAATTGCTGTGGCATTTCCAAAGGAGCCAAATTTATCCTGTGTGACTTCAATGGAGTCAACACAGTTGCACCAGGAACGAGCGTGGCCACAGTTTTTACTTTGGTCACAGGTCTCCTCTCATGGTGAAGGACATCCAGAAACATAGACAAAAATAGCCTGACACAAATGAGGGGAACAGTCATATGTCAGTGAAGAGGGAGACAGCAATTGTAACTGGTGACTCACCCTAGGGCCCCAAGTGTAGGGGATACCCCACACAGCAACATGGGGTTAACCATGTCATGTCTTCCTGCAGAGCTGCCCTGGGCACGAGACAGATCCATTAAGAGCCCTGCATTAAACACAACTGTACACCAATGCAAAAAACAGCTTCCCTTCTGGGCTTGTTGCACCCAAAGGCTTTGCAGTTTGGCTTCAGAGCTGAATAAATCTCACTATTTGCTGCACTTTCAAGAGGTGTTTTTGTGCATGCGCAATACTTCATATTGACCTAAAGCAAGGACAGCAGGCAAACAACAGAGAAAACTATTATCTGTGCAGTGATTGCCTTTGTTTTAGTGTAACTGTCAGGCTGCCCTTTTTGACCTTGTTAGCTACCCAGCTGCAGCTGTATTACTGACTGTTTCTCTTTATGCACACTTCAGGCGGTGACAGCGTCATGGAAGATTAACAAGTAAGGTATGTGTTTACTGCTTGAAACTATGCGCTTGTAAAGAAAAACTTTGTTAAGCAGCATGTGTTCCCTTTGCTTACAAGAGAACTTCTCCCACAGGCAGGCTAAGTAGAGAAGGCAACATGCAGGTGTTTTAAAACTTTCCAAACCTACACAATCTGTTATTGTAATCTGACCTCTCTTCATCCCTTT